CGTCTGCTTGAATTTCGTCTTACAGGGAGATCCACTGTGACGCCAATGCATTGACTGCTGCTTGGTTTCTGGGGTAATGTGTGCAATCCACGTTTCATCACCTGTGATGATCCGGTCCAGAAACTCGTCGCCGCCATCATGGTACCGCTGCAGAAATGTCAATGCTGACTCCATGCGCTTTGTTTTGTGTTCTGGTGTCAGTTGCTTCGGCACCCACCTGGCGCACAATTTCTTGAACAACAGGTGCTCCGTGACAATTTTGTGCAACAAGGAGCGGGAAATCTGCGGGAAATGACTGCTGAGTTCCGTAATTGTGAAGCGACGATTATCCATAATGCGTTCCCGCACAAGCTCCACAAGGTCGTCTGTAATGATGGATGGCCTCCCACTGCGCTTCTCATCATGCACACTTTGTCGACCTGCTGAAAATTGTCTGCACCAGCGACGCACCATCTGCTTGCTCATGACGTTAGGCCCATAGACCCGGCACAGCTGACGATGAATTTCGATCGGCGCTATGCTCTGTGCATTCAAAAACTTTATCACTGACCGCACTTCACAGTCGGCGGGAGCTGGAATAAGAACCTCCATCTTCAACAGCTGCAACGATGCTACTGTGAGAACGCGGGAAGTACCGTTAGTGCATGCGCCATGCTACGTCATTGCTCTATCACGTACGCACAGTCGCTTCGCTCAATATAAGGTTTGCTAGCTGTGGGACGAGTGGGAAACTTACTTTTGGGACGCGCCTCGTAGAACTCAAGCGATGTCTTAACATAAACATCTTGCACACGTCACTGCGCATCACCTTCTGCTCAGTTGCCCCATAAACCTAACCTAACCTAACCTAACTCAACCCTATACCGGTAATCTGTGTCAGCTGAGCATGACGACCTGCCCACGAATTTTCTAAACAGACCATGGATGGTCGGAGATTTGTGAAATTTTGTATGGACGTCGTGCCAGAGGTAAGTAATAGAATTTCATACTCTTTCGTGTCACAACACTTGTAACAAATTCACAAGAAGCCATCAAATTCCCGAGGTGGGAGAAACGCGAAATCGGCCACGATCACCAACATCCGACTTTATGAACAAGGAATTACGCACAAAAACCTTTCTGTATGTTTTCTAACTGGTGCCTATACGTGCACAGTTACGTCATAAGACTAAAAAATTCTCAAAATGAGTGTAAAAATATTTTTATGGCAAAGAAACTGATAGTGACTAAGGTTATGTAAGCGAGTTGTAGCTTCATACGTATGGATTCGCGCACATAAATCACCATACGTATATAAGGGGGTTACAATTGAATCTACACACATTCAAGTGACGGAAATTAAGAAAAACAACAAATAAATATTGAATATGAATTGCAAAGATCAAAAACCATTTCGAAAAATATGCAATTGTTCGTACGCATTGAATGTAGCGTACAGATGGCAGCATGTGTAAAAAGACTTTCCGAATTAGACTGGTGATGGCGTGCTGTTGCAGTCAGGTAAATCAATAACCCTTCTACGTAGCGAATGTCCGACAGCATATTTCACAAATTTACGAAATCTAAAGGAGAGAAAACTAAGGAGAAAATGACGTGGTTCGATTCGATTTGACAGACCTGTACATAGGCTTTCAAATACGTAAGATTGATGTTAGCCCCGGAAGTGAAAGTCAGTCGTAATTGATTTTCGTCGAGAATCAGTGCAGTCTCCGTACCTTGGAATTTAGCTAAGAGATATTCACCTTCTTAAGTTCAAGCTTGCGGACTTTGGTACTCAATCAAATATGTTCATCGGGATAATTAGCAACATTTATTTCCCGCGATACATATTAAACTACTGTGTGCTTCGTACAGAGAAGACGAGAGGACGTTCTCCTTCCATCGTCGTATGCGAGATGGAGTAAAGTAGAAAATTACATTTACGACCTGATGTACGTGTACGTGTGAATTTCCGAGATGTGTTTTTAAACTCCGTGAATTAACTTTAGGTATTACACGTGTGCACAAAAGAGGCAAGAGTTTCTTATAGTGAAGGCCAAACAAATTCCAGATGTACCTGGTTTACTAAAGTTGGACGTGTCTAAATGTGACATGTGCGCGCATATGTATACATATATATTTCTGACAAGCCGGAACTTTGTAATATCTCGATATATTTTAAAATAAAGTTTTGACATGTGTATTAATGATTCTTAAGCGAAAGCTTACTACAAATGCAATTCAACAACTACAATTGCGTAAAAACATGCACAAGTGACGTGAGCCAATAGTCTTTCGAGGTCAACAATAAGGTAACCAATGTAAAATCTTTCAAGTGTAAAGCTATGGTAGTAACTC